ATTGGCCGTATTCTCTGCATGGGCGGGGTCTCCGTCGCCGCTGGCGATCCCCATTGGGCGCCGCCGCTGCCGGTCTCCGGTGCCAGGCTACTTCCTGGACTCTGCTGGGATGGGTTCAAAGTAGAGAAAGTGCAAGAGGGAAGAGTTGCCCGGGCGAGGGAGGGGAGCGGCCCGCAGGTTCACTTCTAACTGTGGAGCAGGATGCTGAGATGGGTCTGGAGGGATGCAGGATGCTCTGGTCCCAGTTAGGATGGTGAGCAGGGTCCTCGCTCCCAGGTGCTCGCTCCGAGGAAGGATGCAGAGCCGGGGTCTGGAAGAATGAATGCAGAATGGCCTGGTCCGGGGGAGGATGGTGAGCAAGGTCCTGGCTCTAGGGAGAGATGAGCTGGGTCAGGAGAGGCGGGGTCCCCACTCTGGGGAGGGGTGCTGAACGGAATGTGTAAGGACGCAGGGTGTCCACTCCGGGATGGGATGCTGAGCCGGGTCCCCACTACGGGGACGGGATGCTGAGCGAAGACAGGAGGGACAAGGGTTCCATTGAGGGGAGGCATGCTGAGCAGGTTCTCAGTTCCGGTGCAGGATGCAGAGCAGGGGGCCGGAGCAAGGTCCCGGCTCCGGGACGGAATGCTAAGCTGGGTCTGGCAGGCCGCAGGGTCTTGTATATCGAGTAGGATACTGAGCGGGGTCTGTGGGAAGCAGGGACAGAATTCAGCAGAGATCACGTTCGAGGTGGACTGCACGAAAGAACTGAGGGACCCGCGCAGGGGAGGGGTATGTGAGAGGGGACCTTAGGGAGAAAGTGGTGCCAGGAGAACAGACTGGGCAAAATGGAAAGGCCTGGGCTGGAAGACCTGGGCAGCAGCGGGAGGCAGGGTGCATGACATGGGGCAGAAAGCCAGTATGGAGGTGCATATGCGCATAAAGAGGCGGAGAGAGACAACGGAGGTCGGACGTGGGAAGTAGCAATCTTTGGGTACCGCGAACCAAGGGAGGAGGGGCTTAAGAGGAGAGCCCAGGGTTCAGAGCAACCCTTCTCTGGATTTGGTCTGCAGGATGGGCTTTGTAGGCTGAAGCAACGGAGAAAGGCCCCCAGGCTACCGACAGAGGACTTTTTAGGGACTGATTTGTAGTTTGATTGCTTCAAGCCACTCCGCCCAACCAGGGTGGAGGCCACCTCACTCTTCCTGAAAATACCCAGGGGATTTTCTGAGGGTCAGGTCGTACAGCCAGTAGTGTTGTGTGAGGGTGTAGGGGAGGGGACGGGGTGGGTGTTAGGTGTCAGGTAAGCTCTTAAATTCTCTTCAAAGGCCTAAAACGAGTTTATACAGTCTCATTTGTACCAATTTCACACAGGAGACAGTATGCTAGGAAATTTAAGCCCACTGTGGGGGCTGAGGCTGTAAGTTGGTGGCCGAGTGGTTGACCAGCCCACCTCAGGCTCTGGGTTTGTTCCCCAGCACTACTTAAACAGGGTGTGGTGACACAGGCCTGTCATCCATCTTTAAGCCGGAGGATCTGAAGTTCAAGGTCATTCTCGAGTGACTACAAAGCACACGGGCCAGTCTTGGTTTTGTGAGACCTTGTCTCAAAACAAAACATGTCCATTATGAAGAATTGCTTATAAAAAAATAATCTAAAGGTTACAAAAGAGACGTGGTTAAGCGAAATTTAACATCTTCAGAAAGAGATGTGCACTCGATTTTTTTTTTTTTTTTTGAGACAGGGTTTCTCTGTGAAACTTTGTGTCTTTCCTGGAGCTCACTCTGTAGACCAGGCTGGCCTCGAACTCGCAAAGATCCGCCTGGCTCTGCCTCCCAAGTTCTGGGATGAAAGGCGTGCGCCACCGCTGCCTGGCTGTACACTCGATTTTTAAGGTCAATTCAATATCAGTGTATGTGTGTGTGTGTTTACTCTTTGTTCTTTGGGGGCCTGCCACCCAGCTCCCAAATAAATATATGGAGACTTATTCTTACTTATGAATGCCTGTCCTTAGGTTGGCTTGTTTTTAGACAGCTTTTCTTAACTTGAAATTATCCCATTTACCTTTTGCCTCTGGGCTTTTAGCTTTCTATTCTATGTACCTTTCTTTCCTTCTTACTCTGTGGCTGGCTGGGTGGCTCCTGGTGTCCTTCTCTCCTCCTTTTCTGGTTCCTTCTTCTTCTTTCTCCTTCTATTTATTCTCTCTGCCTGGCAGACCCGCCTATCCTTTCTCCTGTCTTGCTATTGGCCGTTCGGCTCTTTATTAGACCATCAGTGTTTTTGACAGGCACAGTAACCCAGCTTCACAGAGTTAAACAAATGCAACACAAACAAAAGTAACACACCTTAAAATAATATTCTCCAACAGTTATGAGCCACCATGTAGGTGCTTGGAACCGAACCTCAGCCCTCTGCAAAAGCAGAAAGGGTTCTAAACCCTTGGACCATCTCTCCGGTCCTACTTTCTCTACACGTACACAGTCCAGGGCCCCAAACCAGGGAGTGGTGCTGCCCACAGTAACTTGGATCTTCCTACCTCAACTAACAATCAAGACCATCTCCACACCGAGACATGCCCACAGGCCAACCTGATCTAGCCAATTCCTCATTGAGGATCTTCTCAGGTGATTTTAGGCTGTGCCAAGTTGACAGTTAAAACTAACTGGCACAGGGGGCCAGAAGGAAGCATGATCCTGGCCTTTTAAGGTTTACAGGGAATGCAGTTGGGGGTCTACACGAGGCCGAATGCACTGGTTCTGAGGTCCTTTTGTATAGATGAAAGCTCCACTTTTCCTTCCTCCCTCCCTCCCTCCCTCTCTCTTTCTTTCTCTTCTTCTTCTTTTTTTTTTTTTTAAAGACATGGTTTCTCTGTGTAGCCCTGGCTGCCCTGGAACTCACCAAGGTCCGCCTGCCTCTGCCTCCTGAGTGCTGGGATCAAAGGCGTGCGCCACCACCGCCCAGCATTCTTTGCATGTTTCTTATGCTGAGATGCTTTCCCCAGAGTATCTTGCGTTCAGCCCGGTCATTTCAGCACCCAACTGCTTCATTACCAGCCTTCCTTGGCTGGAAGGAGTAAGCAGCTCCCCCTTGGGGGCTGCAGTCCAGTCCTCAGGGCAGCGGCCACTCCTGACTCCTGTCACTCCAGTGTTATTCATAATGTCCCCCTTTACTTGGCAATCCTTTATTAGTGCCGTCCCTGTTAAGATGAACTCATCTTTAGACCAGAGCAAGCACCAAGGCTGTTTGTAGAGCATGTGTGCATATAGGAGCCATGTGTGTGTGTGTGTGTGTGTGTGTGTGTGTGTGTGTGTGTGTGTAGGCACCACGTGTGTGCACCTGCTCTCACATTCTGACCATCCTCTGCAGACATCCTGGAGTCTTTCTTCTAGGGATCTTCCATCATAACCTTTCCCTACGTGCATAGCTCTGCCTGTTGCTGTTGGAATGACTGAGCAGCTTTAGACGGTCAGCTTTGCTGTCAGAACTGTCTTCAGATCTGACCCCCACTCTTCACGTGCTATGATATGTTGGCAAATTATCTCCTCTCTTCCTCCCTTCCTTCTCTTCCATTATGAGAGAGTATCTCGTATATCCCAGGCTGGCCTGGAACTCACAACATGCCAAGAATGACCTTAAACTTCGGGTTCTCTTGCCTTCGCCTTCCAAGTGCTGAGGCGACAGGCATGTGACACAGTGGTGCTGAGGATGGAACCCGGGACTTCCTGCATGCTAGGTAAGGGCTCTACTTACCGAGCTACAACCCCAGCCACATTTCACAGAAGCCTGTTAGTGAGTGCTAACACAATGCCTGGCCAGCATTAAAGGTTAATTAATCAGTGCTAGTCCACCTACCTCAATTAGCTTACATTTGCCTTCAATAGCTGCATTTTTTTTTTTTTTTTTTGCACAGGGTTTGTCTTTGTTTTGCCTGTATGCATGTATGTGCACCATGTGTGTGCCTGATGCCTGTGGAGGCCAGAAGAGAGTGTCAGATCTCCTGGGCCTGGAGTTACAGATGATTGTGAGCTGCCATGTGGGTGCTGGGAATTGAACCCAGTGCTCTTGACCACCAAACCATCTCTCCAGCCCCCAGAGTTTGTCTTTATATCTCAGGATGGCCTGGAACCAAAGGGCATAAGCTCCCCTGGAAGTGGTTAACAGATGGTTGTGAGCCACCTGCTGTGGGTACTGGGAACTGAACCCGGGTCTTCTGCAAGAGCAATATGTGCTCTGAACCCCTGAGCCATCTCTCCAACCCCAGTGTAAATTTTTCAACACAGAACTTTCCCTAACTGGGCAGTGGTTGCCCATGCTTTTAATCCCAGCACTCAGGAGGCAGAGGCAAGTAGATCTCTGTGAGTTCTTGGCCAGCCTGGTCTACGAAGTGAGTGTTCAGCCTGGCCTGCATAGGAAGTTCCGGGACAAAAAGGGCTATGTAGAGAGACCCTGTCTCAAAGAGAACCAAACAATAAAATAAAAACGTTTCCTATTGTTTTCCTGTTCCTACGACAGTGGGAGGACAGAAGGGGAATTGTAGTGAAATGCCAAAGTTTTCCACATCTCCATCAGGTACCCTGACCCTCTCTCAATCTTAGCAACCCTGCTTCCTTCCTCCTCACTCCCTTTCATCCAATCAGCTGACAACACGGCAATGATCCCACATCATCCTAGCCTTAGAGACTCAGGGTTGGCACCTC